AAGTGAAGCGGTTGATGATGACGATGCGTCCGTGGATGTCACGTGGGTGCCCGCTAGAAGAGAAGAACAGGGGGAAAGTTCAGATGGGGAGACAGAGGAGGAGTAGGAAACGAGTTGGAAGCAGGGGGAGGTCGTCGCAAGGAGCTAGTGGCACAGCCAGACAGCATGCCAATCAACGCATGCTGTTGCCACCACCAGAATGCCGTCATTGCAGAGCTCAGCAGTGTGGCATTTTTTTTGTGTGTGTCTGCCTCTGACAACAGCGATGCCATTTGCAACCTGTGCCAAAAGAAAGAGAGTCGTGGGAAGTCCAACACCCACCTAGATACAACTGCTTTGCGAAGGCACATGATCGCACATTACAAACGCCTATGGGATCAACACATGAGTACAAGCAGCACACAAACTCAAAGCCGCCATCCTCCTCCTGGTCCAGCATCTTCAGCCACGTTAACCACTGCTGTCCTCCTTGCCCCCTCTCAACCATCCGCCCCTCCGTCTCTCGCCTTGAGCAGTTCAGGTGTCTGTCAAGGACATGTTTGAGCGTCACCCCCTTGCCCGGCGTCTGACAGCTGGCTTGACTGAACTCTTAGCCCACCAGCTTTTACCATACAAGCTGGTGGAGTCTGAGGCGTTCAAAACATTTGTAGCTATTGGAACACCGCAGTGGAAGGTACCCGGATGAAATTTCTTTGCACAAAAGGCAATCCCCAACCTGTACTCGATTGTGCAAAAGGAATGGAATGCGTGGCTCTGCAGAGGAGTTGGTGACACTGCCACGTACAACACGTACACGTACAACACAACGGGAATCTAACAGGGGAAGAGGTGAAAGTAATCCTCCTCCTCCCCTGACCACGCCGGCAAGGACAGGACACTTTAGAGACGTGTTGTTGATGGAGGACATGCTGAGCTTTTTAATCCTACGCATCGTCACAGCCCTTCGGGGTCCACCCTCAGAGAACGACTCGACCGACAGGCTACCTTGCCTTAACTGCAGATATCGACACTCTGAGGAGCGATGAACTACTGGGTGTGCAGGCTTGACCTGTGGCCTGAGCTATCCCAATTTGCGATAGAACTTCTGGCCTGTCCCGCTTCAAGTGTCCTGTCAGAAAGGACCTTCAGTGCAGCAGGAGGTATTGTTACTGAGAAGAGAAGTCGCCTAGGTCTAAAAAGTCTAGATTACCTCACCTTTATTAAGATGAATGAGGGATGGATCCCGAAGGGACTGACAGTGGGCGATACATTCGACTAAAAAATAAAAAATATAAAAAAGGCCTGATGAGGGGGGACGTAACAGGGTGTCGCGGCTGCCGGCCCGCCGCGTGATATTTAAATCCCTAGCTCACCCCAGTACCTTGCCCTGTCGTGGTTTCCTGGTTTCCTGAGAGTGCTTTATCATTGTGAATCTGATTTCCTGGTATCCTGATCTTGGCTTTTCCCTGGTTATTCTGAATTCTGGTTTCCCTGACTTGGCTTGTGTAAACGGTATTGTGTATTTTCTGGCTTCCTTGACTTCGACTTTCCCTTTGACCATTCTCGGTGTCTAGCGTATTAGTCCGGCCATTCAAAGGTCCAGTTTACGCTCTGTCCTTTTATTTTCCTTTTCTTGCCTATGTATATGCTTACATAGTTTCTGCATGCTGGACCACACTTGTAGTCGTGACATTGGCAATAAACTAATAAGAATAGTACTACTTAACACCACTCCTATCTGGTGGCACATTAGATTGCACGCGCAGTGCCCCAAATTTGAAGTAGGGGGACCGACCAAGCATCTTTTTCCATCTCCCGGTTCCTAAAATCGATGCCATATACACGTCCCCGATAGGAATAGTACTACTTAACACACCTTATAATAACGCAGAGAGAGGAGTCTGAAGAAGAGGAGTCAGAGGAGGGAGACCAAACACAGCAGGCGTCCCAAGGGGCTTGTTGTCATCTTTTGGGGACCCTTGGTGTTGTACGTGGCTGGGTGGAGGAAGAGACCTTCAATGACATCAGTGAGGACAAGGAACCATATAACATGACTAGCTTGGTATCCAACCTTGTGCAAATGGGGAGTTTGCGGTTGTGCAAATGGACTGTTTGCGGTGCGTTAAACGGGGAGTTTGGTCTGTCACTGAAGCGGGCGTAACCCCTTACACTACCTGATGGATACAACATCATACTTGATCTTTTAAAGCACGTTATTCTAAACAATTTAGGAATGTTAGGTGATTTATGCCCTTTATGGGTTAAAACCAGACTCTGCATCAACTATGTAATTTTCCATGGGAGTTTTGCCATGGATCCCCCTCCGGCATGCCACATTCCAGTACCCTTGAAACTACTTTTCCATCACTATTGTGGCCAGGAAGAGTCCCTGTGGGTTTTAAAATCCGCCTGCCTATTGAAGTCTATGGCAGTTCGCCCGTGAACATTTGCGATAGTTCGTGTTCGCGAACCGAAAATTTTATGTTCGCGACATCACTACATGGCAGTTTTAGAGACATAATTTTGATATATCATGGCAGTTTTAGAGGCAGAAATTTTACACATCATAGCAATCAGTTTTAGAGACATACAACTGCTTACACAGACTCAGAAGTGCTGTTGTCCTGCTCTTTCATCCAGGCACCTCACGTTGATTATCCTAGTGGTGGAACTAATGTAAAGAGGACCCTGGTACAAGTATGTTTTCTGGGCCCCCATCTATAGAAAGTGTGGCCAAAAGGTAGATCTCCATCTGTTGGAGAACTTCAACAATAATATGCCAGATTGAGATCTACCATTTGCACAACATTGCAGGGTTTTATTTGTGAGTAGTGTTTGAATGTAAGCATGTTTTTGTATTAAGTATGTGTGCATGTATGGGTGTATTTGTATGTACTGTTGCTATTGGAATGTAGTGGTGTACTTGTTTGTAAATGTAGTGTGGGACTTTAAATGCAGGTGTGCTTTTTGTGTGTAGTGTTGGTGTTTGAATGAAGGGGTGTTTCTAGATCATTTTAGTGTTTTAATGCAGGGGTGTGTTTGTATGTAATGTTTGCGTTTGATTGGTGTGTGTACTGGATGCAGTGTGTATATTGTGTTTATAAAATATACACAATGTGTGTTTCAATGTAAGCATGTTTTTTTGTATGGAGTATGTGTGCAGTGTATACACACACACGTATGTGCATAGAGGGGAATGTGGTGCGACTAAGAGTAAGGAGACTACCCCAATAATGACAAACAACGAATATTGGATGAAACAGGCCACAGCATTTATTAAACTTACAACTGTAGGACTCATCCGAACTTTATTCTTTTTCTTTAATTCAAATATAAACAGATAAATATATACATACCATAATTAACATATAAATTACACTTATTGCCCTACAGCCTCCAACTTAAATAACCGTCCTTGCCAACGAACTTAACCAGGTGCCTATGCACCAAAATTTTACCCACTGGTGTCTCGCCTCCCCCTTGTCCAAACCAAAAATTCCCATCATCTTAAATGCTCTGCCACCAGCCGGCTTTTTGCTCGGTGGGCACGTCCTATTCGGTAACTTAAAAGTTTAAGTTACAGAGCAGGGGAGGTTGAGACCCACCATGTCCATCTCCTGACATTCCATCTGCTCCCCAACCCTGTTGGCAAAGACACGCTCCCCGCCACAAACCCCGCTGTTTTAAACCTAAAATCAGCGGTGGAGCCCCACCAAAACCAACCAGGCCTGTTCCACCACTTTCTGCATGGCAAGACGAAAAAAGGTCTAGCCGGACCTTCATCACCCAGAAACACAGTAGCTGCCAAATGCGCGACAACACCCTGTGGAAAACCAAAATCCCCTTACCTTCAAACACCTCGAGAGGCCCTCCAATTTTGCTTCATATGGCAGCGTACCATGCACGGATTATGGGCCCGCTGCCAAAAGATACGGGAAATGACCGGTGACCAATCGGGGTTATGGATTTTTTTTTTTTTTTAATTTCAAATAGTTTGATTTTTTTTGAACTGCTTTGTTATAACATATGATAAGTCCTGTGTAACACATCCAGAACTACTTATAATAACCTCTATAATCATAATCTCTTCTTTTCTGAATCAAAAACGTTAAACGCAAATAACCATAAAACTCAACATATTTAACACACATGGTCATTTATTGAACCCAACACCAGGCATCACGAAATAACTAAAACACGCACCAATACCCTCTTAGGGGCAGACGCCAAAAAAACACCTTGGTATCGTCCCAAGCTCAATGCCCGCCAGGTGGATAACCCGAACATTAGGGACAGGTGGGACAGCTGAACCTGCTCCGGGAGGAGCCGAACACATTTCATACCTCCAGCACCAAACCAACGAACCTCCGCTTCAGAAGGCACACAACCCAAAAGCTCACCTCCCAGACGGACACCCGCATCTCACCTGGGAGCATAACCAGGAAAAGGACATCCAGATAATATCTGTTTTCCAAGTGCACCCTGGGAATTATTACTTGTACCCAAGGAACTGGTACTCATTTATCTACCTCAAAGGAATGAATGGATGAGCCGCCACCACCGCTGAGAATTGAACCCGAACCCCCCCCCCCACCCCCCGCACAAGGATTGAACAAATTCCACGAAACCAGCATTACTTCACCGAGACATCTCACCATACCCCTTCCCGGTTCTTTGCACCACGTGCGCTGTCATACCCATTCTAAAAGCCTCCAAGGCAGCGCTAAACCAAAAGGAATGACACAAGATTCTTTGCTGACAGTCCCCAGAACCATCAGACTTGAGCGAAAGACCCAAAAATTGGGAATGGGAAAGCAAAAATAAATCACATCCGCATAACCCAAAATAGGGCCTGTGCATACTGGGCGCAGCTCACAGTTTTCTACAAAGGAAAAGTGCAACAGCCGAATCGCCATACCCTTCCCGAAACAACATTCGACCTGGATTGTCAAATACTTATAATGATATGATCTGCAGGGCGCCGACTGGTGGCAAACAATACCCCACCACCACATGGCCTACTAGGAATCACCAAAACCCCAACATGCACAGCCACCAGGAGCATGGCGTCCAGGTGGCCGTGGAAACCGATCTACGGACCCATTCCGTCACTCTGCCAGACTGTCCGCTGGGCAAGGCGTCCCCTCCAGATCCGCCTGCGAGGCAAGGAGGCTGTTAGCAGAATAATGGCTTGAACAACCCCCAAATTGTCGCAGTGAAACAATACCCTTAGATCCTGAAACGTGACTGCCAGACCTCCCCACCACCAAAATGGGGAAACGCTCCAAAAAGCCCAGATTCTTTGTGAGCCCAGAGACATGCCAACTGTCCGGCCACACGGGAGCACACCAATTAGAGCCCAGAATGGCCCCAAACCCCACCGCGCCAGCTGCGTCCGTAAATAGGTGGAGGTCGGCGTTTGAAATCTCCGGCCTTTGCCAGCAGGACTGGCCATGATATGCAGCTAAGAAGGACTCCCAAAATCTCCCGCAGCAGCCGAGTGAGCCGAATGAAATGGTGAGGCCCAGAGACCACGGCTGCCGCCATAGCCAGACGCCGGTTAAAGACCCGCCCCACGGGCATGATCCGACAGGCAAAATTCAGCTCACCCAGGAGCGACTGCAGGCAGCGCAGCTGAATATCGCGCCGCTCCATGGCCAAGGCCCCTTCGCGCCGCCAGCCTTGAATCTTATTCAAAGGCCAGCGGCAGTCCCACGCCAGAGAGTCAATCTCAATGCCCAGAAAGCTGAGAAAGTGACCAGGCCCACCGTCTTGCCGTGACCTCACCCATAACCCGTCGCAGCAGCGAACAGGCTGTCGAATCGGCAGGACCCACACAAATGAAAATGATCGAGGTAGTGTAGCAAGGAGACTATACCAGCCTCCTCCCTCACCACCCAGTCCAAGAACGTGCTGAAGCATGCAAAGTAACAACAGGATATGGAACTACCCATAGGGAGGCACATATCCACGTAATACAAGCCTACAAAAAAATAAATAAAAACACAGCCCAGAAGATGGTGACATCCCATAGTGCACTGGCAGTAGACGGAAGGCCGAATCCACATCAGCCCTGGCCTAACAAGGCCCCAACCATATCAACCGCCACGTCAAAGGATGCATAAGATACCCGTCTGAGTTCCCAAGAGATGTCTTCATTCACCAACCCCCCCAGGGGGTACGATAAATGGTGAATCAGACGGTATTTGCCCAAAACCCATGCTCAACCCATCCAGTAGGATGCCAGCCACCTAACGATTTCTATAAACTGGAGAGCCAAGGGCTCATCGTGCTCATGACCACTGGCGCCATCGCCCTCTGACCCCAAATCCCCAAGTGGAACATTCGTGCTGGAAACAGCAAGATGCCCCCCATTTGCAGTGACTGTCACTGAATTTCAGCAACAGCCCGGCCTCCGATGTGCGGCCAGTGAGGAGGAGGAGGAGGAGGAGGACCCCCCCCCCAAACCCCCCTGAGAAAGGACGAGAAAGCACCCTGCTGGGAGGCCATGCAGCTCACAGTGGAGGGCCAGAGGCCAATGTCAATCTGTTCCCACGAAATTGAGGGGCGCACCGCCAACTGTTGACAGAACTGCTTGTCATATTTCCACCATCCCAGACTACCATAGGTACGACAAGCGTTCCAAATGGTATCCTGGTAGCAGAACAATGCAGAGCACTTCTGCTGAGCCCTTTCCCCAGTTACACTGGCCAGGATTGCAAACGCGCAAATCCAATTTGCGCAAGTCATAGGGATCTTCCGGTACTGGTATTTCTCTTCTTTTTTTTTTATTCCTACCCGTCCTTTTCCATTAAAGGAGGAGCCTCCTCCATGGGAAGGAGGGAAAAATCTAAACAAAATTTTTTACGAACCTCCGGTTGAAGGTGCAAGCCCAAGGGCCCTGACCAACACATAGGCGGACCCATGCGAAACGGCAAACCTGGGGGGTCACATAATGCTAGGGACCCTCTAGCAGCAGGTGCTGCTGCACCCGACGCCGTAGCAGGGGTGCCAGCATGCACACCCACTCCAGGAGAGGGTAACAGCGTGACCCCAAAAACAGTCAAAAAAAACCTGTGGCTGCAGCGCCGGGGAGGACAGAGTTAACTTCATTTTCAGCACTGCTCAGCCCAGCAGCAGCACCAGGCGCCATCTGCTGGCCGGTCCCAGGAACTGCAACCAGATCCTGTGTGAAGAGCCCTGGAGAGGAGCTCACACCCGCAGAGGAGGGCAGCCGAGGTAAGTACCCAGGGGGGGGCAGGGGGGACATAGGGACCAGGAATAGGGACAGGAGAGGGGGGGAGGGGAGGAGGGAGACAGAGAGACAGGAGGGGGGGGAGGAGGAGGGGGGGAGGAGGGAGGGAGACAGAGAGAGCTTAGAGAGATGAAGGACACCCAGCACAGCAGGAACAGGGGAGGAGAAAGGAGGGAGATAGAGATAAAGCCAGGAGTGGGAGCAGAGAGAGCCAGGACAGCAGCAACAGGTAAGGAGGAGGTAAACCAAGGGAGAGGGGACTCCAGAGGAAGAGGGGTCAAGGGATGGCACCACGGGGAAGAGGGGAAGTTCCCACACTTTGGGAACCGCTGCAATAGCCTATATGCTCAGTGGTCCAGGGAGAAATTACAAAACACAAAGCCTTGAACGGTAACAAAACGTTACTTGTTGATACAATGGACCTTCTAATGGTTTTCTGATTATGAACTTTGCGGATTAAATAATAAATGGTTTTTTGTTTGTTTGTTTTTTTGGGATGATGTAGGATGCAGATGTAGGGCATGCCTACATGGTGGTTTGGAGAGCAGAGAGCGACGAGCTGATGTCAACCGGCATGTCAGCACCATTAAGGTGAAGGCACATTGAACGCAAGTGAGAGACTCAGCATACACCGCAATACGCAGTGAGAGAAAGCTGAATGAGAAGGTGGGTCGGGACTGCAAGCAGATGACAGATGGTTTGGCTTGTATAGAAAGTGATACAGGGAGAAGGAGGAATGGACAGAGGCGACTGGGTCCTTGATTGTGAAATCCGGTCCGTTGGTAGAGTGGGGGCAACATTATGGTGTGGGATTAGGCCGTTGAGCCGGGCCACAAGACTAAATAAGGTCCATAGAGACCCGCTGTGGGAGGAGGTGAAAAATGTTCAAAACTTACTGGAAACACAGGCCTTTGGTGAAGCCATACATTTGTTACATAGAAAAAGTGATTTGCTAGTGGGCTGCTGATTATTTTGATTAATTTATTTTCTTGCCCCCGAGAATATGGTGTCCTGCAAAGTCATTTGATTCAGTGCCAAACTAAGCCTGGCTTTGGTGCAATCTCTGAGCATATTTTACAGTACGCATCTGTAGAGACTCTAAATTTAATTTAAAAAACAAAACACACAGAATTCCCTTTTTGAAATATTTTGTGTGTGGAAATTCTTGGGTGAAAGAAATCTATAAGGATGAAATTTGATTTGTGTCAAATGAATCAGCATATATAGAGATACACTTAAAATAAAAAGGAAAAATAACTATGCGAATAAGCCCTCTTAAAGAAACAGCGTTGGCCACTCCTTAAACCACAAATCCTTTAGTTGGGCTCTGTCATGCCAAACTTACCTTTCCCCAATCGACTCCTCTTCTCTTCCTCTGCAGGATCTGTTCTTCATTTCTTCCTGTCTGCTCTAGTTTTCTTTAAAGCATAAGACAAAGTAGGGACCATTTTGTCTTATGGAGGTTTCCTACGCCTGACAATTCTTACCTTTCCTCCGTTTTCTCGCATTGCTTCCTGTCAGTATTCCCAAACGTCCTGTCATTTAGACAGAATGCCGGCGAAACTACCGAATTTCGTCCTAACAGGATGAACATTTTCTCCATTCGAGGACGCAATTCAGGACTTTGTTCGGATGAATGAAATTCATCAGATTAGTGCCACGGCTGAATCTTGCAGCCACTTAGTAGATAGCTCCCTGATACTGTGAGAATTAGGGAGTTTTCTACCAAAAAGCTGAAAGTAAATACAAAAAAAAAAAAAAAAGGGGATCAGCGCCAATATATCAGTGAATAGGAAGCAACCACAACAAAAGGGATCCCGCTCACCCTTTGAACAGAAAACAAGAGTGTACAAAGATAGATAAGGCTTGCGCCACAGAGGGTAATAAAATATAGTCAATTACAGGAAGTCCAGTTATACAAAAGGAAACCTTTAGGTTTACACCAAATGGTGTCCTTATTGTGTATTCAACGAGAGATGTAGATTCCTAAGGTTTGGGAATGGTATCCGTAATCAATCTCTCCGATGACAATTTACTGAGCTATAGCCAGCTCTAGCATCAAACGCTTGTAGTGGTATAATTCCCACTTCGGGATATAATGTGGGTGTCCTCAGTCTCAGGGTTAACTGGAGCTGAAACGACAACAAAAGTAAGGAGGCGACAGTAGTGCTCTCAAATAAAAAAAATAAAAAAAATTAAAAGAGATTTAAAAAAAAGTAAAATATATATATAAAAAACATACCTCACAAAACGTAGAGCTCTAGGTGTCGAGGCACTCATCGAATATATATTAAAAAAGGGGATCAGCGCCAATATATCAGTGAATAGGCAGCAACCACAATGGAAAATCCAGGGAATTCAAAAATGTAATAATGGAGAATAAAAATCAAACCCTTTAGGCAAATTATGGAGAAATTTAGCTTTTCCGGGAATTAAACCTTCAACTACCTGAGAATTAAGGGCTTCAATCCTGAATATTTATCCAAGAACAAGGAAGAAAAAAAAAAAAAAAAAACACCACACACCTCAGACATCTTCTGGAACTAAAGAATTCTAAAAATCTATTGGCAAAATGTGTCAAAGTTATATATGGATGGAGGCATGATAAACCAATAGGATTGATTAATAAATGGGAAAAAGAAAAACATGTTTCTATAGAAGAAGAATGGATAAGTTCCCTAAATAAAAGTATATAAAAACATATACACCGCCTAAATCTCACAGAAATACAATTCGAACTCGCTAATAGATGGTATTTGACAACTAAACATCTAAATAGAATCTTTACAGAGATATCAGAAAGGTGTTGGAAATGCAATGTCAATGAAGGTAATCTGGTCCACAGCTGATGGCATTGCGCTCCTATAAGTCAATATTGGAAGAATGTAATCAAGGTAATTTATCAAATAACGGGAATGAAAATAGGTTTTAAACCTGAAGTAGTTTTATTAAATCTAAAGTGGCCCAAATTGCCAAAAAAAGAACAAATGGTAACAATACATATCAT